TCATTCAAGCATCCTTCCTATCCAAGCTCAAACACCAAGTACTTGGCTGATTCCCCAAGCCATAAGGATTTGTATCTCCTAATTTTTCATCACCTCCTTAATGTGAAAGCAGCTACTATTGAGATTTTCGATCCACTACTGGGATCTGCAAGTTCTTGGTCCCAAGAAGTCTTTCAAGTTTACTGGGAACCCTATCATTTTACTGAGAGACAGGGAGGTAAGCACACCTAATTCACCTTCCCTGCATTATTTTTTACCTGTTACATATAAAGCACAACCCTTCCTTTTAGCTTTTTTCTTTATAAGCACAGATACTGAGGTCTTTTTTCTTCATTGCACATCTCTGAACTAAGCCTAACTAAATGCGACACTGAAAGAGAGGAAAAACCATGACTTTATAAAACAGCATTCAAAAAAATAAAGAAAAAGATCAGAAAATTCCAATTTTTAATTTTATTTCCTAATTACAGTAATGCACCATTATCTGAAAACTCCTTTATTTTATGAGCACCGTGTGCTCTTGAATAACTCTGCTGCCTAACCTCAACAAGTTACAGAAGGATTCTTCCTAACTTGCAATGTCTTGCTCTATTAGGACTCAGTTTATTGCACACTGTAAATTATTTGAAAAGTCTATATGTAATGAAAACTCATGTAGATGTTTAATGTTATCCTTTATTTCTTCCACAGGTCCTGCTGCATCCTTTATCCTCCCCAAGAAGCATAACACTGATATCACTTCCAGAATAGCTGGCCAGCACTGCTTTAGTATTCTCAATATTCTTTAACTCTTAATGTGGGAACTGTGTGGGACAGGCTGGCTGATGTTGTCTTCTAGCAGTAGAATGACCCAATGAAATGCTGGCCACCGGCTCCTGGCACTGTTCTCACACACACAGGACTTGATCTGCCTACAGCTGATGTGCAGATAGAACAGAGCTGTTCTGTCAGACTGCTTTGTACTGGCAACCACTCTGGTCCTTCTCCTCACGCCACAAAGCTTTGAAACTGACTCGTGGGCACTCAGGGTTATCAGGATAGTTGCCAGGTAGCAGTTAGCTTCTGTTTGAAGGACAGAGAACCACTCAGTATCTCAGAAGTAACAGAAGAGTTGGTGTTTTTTAAACAGTGACCACTCTGCCCAACTGTTTTTCTTTCTTAACTGTACAAGGCCAGATTGGATGGGGCCCTGGGCAGCCTAGTCTAGCATTAAATGGGGAGGTTGGTGGTCCTGCATGTGGCAGGGGGGTTGGAGATTCATGATCCTTGAAGTCCCTTCCAACCCTGGCCATTCTGTGATTCTGTGATATAAAAGGCAGGATCAACACTTTCTCTGCATGAAAGTCAGGGCTAGCATTTTGAAAATAGGGTTCTGAATGCTACAGAACAACAATTCTTAAAGTAATGTGTTAATATTTAAGGGGTCTGAGTTCTAGTGATGCAATTTCATCCCAACATTCAATCACAGTGCAGACTGCTCAGTGCTTTGCAGAAACGAATACAGGTATCTTATTTTCAGAAGCTAAGTGTGTCCTAAGAAAATGAGGCAACAGAATAATTCCTCAGGGACAGAACAGCAGCTGGCCCAAGCCGAAACTCACTATTGCTTGTGGAGGGATTTCAGCCACTCCCAAACGTTTCACATGGAGGATGGATGCAACTGCTTCTGTCACTGACTGTCCGTGGCAGGAAGATACAGCAGCCACAGCAGGCCTTTCAGCTGGCTCCCAAACATCCCAGGTACTGGCAGGGGTTTTCTTCAATGGCGCCTTAATCTTGTTCTTTTAAAAACAAAGCTGCCTTCAGAACAGGCTAGCACCAGTTACCATACCCATCTTGATATACTCACCTTGATGGGCACCACAAATTTGGGAATTTACAGAACTGAGTAACAATCACAAATACTGAACATAAGTAATTTATCCAGAGACAAACATACAACTAAATGTCCAACACAGAAAAGAGCAAAAATGCCCTCTGCAGTATGGAGCTCTCTCTTGCAAACAGCATGAATTCAGCATCCAAAAACTAAGGTAGGCAGCTATTGCTGAGTAATCCTATTCAGTAACTCAAGGACTGTAACACAAACCAGAAATACCGTCCCACATCAGTCCTACAGCACCTGTTTAATGAAGGAAGACTTCTCCTTACGCAAATTATTTTTTGTCTGAAGAATATATTGCTTCCTCCCTATTGCTCTGAGGTTACTCAGCAGTTTTTAGTACCTGCAACATGGAGGATTTTATTGCTGTTATACTAAAACCTTATTGCTGGAATTCTCACTGTTAGGAGAAATGGTTAAAATAATACAATTAAAATAAAGGCTTTGAGGTTGAACAGATGACTAAAACTACTACAGCAAATTTAACTTCAGGTCAGATACGTTAATAAATAAAAATGAACTTCATATCTTAAAATTGAATGACTCATTATCAAAAGAATCTGTTGACATTATGATGAAAATACTTCACTGTACTCAGCATGGTGAATTTAGATGTACAGGTGTGCTTCAATGGGACAAAAACAATGGCATTCCTGCAAGCTGACCAGATTTCTGCCAGTTTCAGAGGTATCTTTGCATGGATATTGGCACCAGACCCTAAGGATGTGGGGCCTACACTGTAACTGCCTACACAGTCTGACGTAAAAACAGTAAAATACTTAATTTCACAGTCTGAAAAGCAGCTGTCTTTCATGCATTTCTTCTTATGGAAGTGAGGTAGGTGGCTTCATACCCACAGCTCAGCCCCTGCTCTCAAGAACTCATTCAGAGGTGCATTTAATCTCACTACTACTGTAAACCATGCTAGAGCTCGATTTGACAGCTATGGACAAACCAAGGTCGCTGACTTCCAGAAGGATTTTCTGGCCTATGCTGCACAATCTCAATTTAGGACCACCTCTCAAAGAGCCAGCATCCTCACTGGCATCACAGCAGTAGCTTAGGAGGAAAAATCATATTTCTCACCTGTCTGTGGTGAAAGGTAAATGAGTTACTCATCAAATGAGGGCAAATCATGCCCCTGTGAGCTGTTTGGTTTTTTTTGGTAACTTCTATAATTAATCCTTCTCTCCTCTTTTTGACTCGAACCATTCCTGAGGAAGGGAGCTTCCAACCACAGATCTCTCTGCTCTGGCACAAGGAAAAGGTCGGCTCCCCTGACAGCATTAAAAGCCATGGAGGAATTAAGCAGCCTGTGGAGTGAGGAAGATGACAAGGAGCAGTGTGAAAAAGGGGATGACATTATTTCCCTCTGTGCTGGTGTTTTTTTCTTAGCTTCCCTGCCACCCAGGTGTTGCAGAGAGAAAAACACTCGTGCCTGCAAGGTAATGTGAGGAGATGAGAACAGGTCTGCTTAAACAGCAGAACAGTTGCCCTAGGGACTGAATTACGGTCACAGTTGTAGCTGCTCATCCTCACCACACTTCCTCAGCAATTTGATTCAGGGGAACAAAAAGAAAAAGAAAACAGCAAAAGGAGGGGACTAGACTTTGTATCGCTTTAACGTATCTCAGCTGTCGTCTTAAGCAGTGCCACTCTATATTATTCAGCCTCTCTATGTTATTCAGTTCACGCCTTCTACCACCATTTAATCTCAGCACTTTGCATACTTGCAAAACCACACGCATGCATAGTGTGGATATTTATGACCTGATTATTTCTTATACACAAATCTGTAACAAAATAGGAACCTGACAATGACTGGAGCATCATGAGCATTCCTAAGCAGATAAAGAACACCAACACCCCACACAGAGTAGGGACCACATTCTAACTGTGCTGAGAATCTGTAAATGGCAGTGAAGCCACTGGAGCTGCGAGTTCACAGCTCTATCAGACCACGCCACGCAGTTATCAAACTAATCAGCTACACAGAAAGAGCCAAATATCGTGAAGGTTGAAGCAGGTAGATAATGGAATTTGAACCCAGCATTGCAACTTAATTATTGCTCATAAAACCTTTACAGAGCCTTGTTTGTACACAATTCATTCACATTTGAGATTCAGCACTGCGTACAGCATATGATTCTTAACGTCACAGAAACTCTGCCACAAAAAGCTACAGTCATCCAAACATCCATGTGAAAAGGACAGGTTCCGTTTGGAAAAATCCAGACCAGCAACACAGTTGTCTCTACTATTTATACTACACAGGTATATTATTTCATTGAACTGTAAATATTGCTGATTTTACACGAGATTTTTTGTTTTAACTGCAATTGAAGACACTGAAGCAACAATACAGTATGCCGACTGCGACATTCAAGGGAACATAACCTCCTACTGATGTCAGGGCATTAACACATGGAGCTCCCACTAACGCCAGTGCAAGGGGTACTGTGAACTCCTATGCACTGACATTGGAATAGACACTGAATTTCATAAATCTCCCAGAAAGATTTCCTCTCTGACAATCAAGTCTTGGAATTAGAAAGCAATGTTGTATTTCTACTGCATTCTAATGTGGCTCCAGTAAAGGTAAGAAATAGCTTTTAAGCTTAACCATTCATGAGAGGAAGCTCTGCTTTTTAGACCAGAACTATCATCTTACAAGAAGAGAACTGACATGCATACAGTGAGAAGAACCCCAATCTGTAATGGACAAAACTGCCAGAAAGGGAGAAAATTTTGATTCGTGTTGCAGTTCTGGTTGCATATAATTATGAACCAGCTACACTCTGAGAATTTATAAATTTCTACATTTTAAATTACAGCAGAATGTGAAAACGTGTGGCAATCTTTTTGACTTTGTAACAAACCGAAGTGGAAGCATTTCACGTAGATCTGAAATTTAGGTTATTCCATCTGATATTTCACTACAGAAAGACAAAACTTGTCTGAGACACTTCAAAGTGTTGCATCTGCTACAAATGCAGTCAGAAGAGACCATGTTGATTCATCAGCTTTGAAATTGCCCAGTGAGTTCTTTTAAAATTAATAATATAATGAGGCCTGATGTCCCACATCTAAGAGAAAACATCGGCCTGACTTCTGAGTCAGAAGGCAAAGCCTATCTTCTGTTTCAATATCCAGCCAGAACTCAGTAAAGAAATGGAACTCTATGAAAATAATGATCAACCTAATTCATGCAGAGATGTAGAATAAAAGCTATGCAAGTACTTCCTCACTCACAGCAAATTCATTGCACTGAGATTATCACAATAAATACTAGATAAATCAGTACAATTGGCCATTATTTTGAAGAGCATTCTCATGATATAAAAATGGGTTTGTGGGAACAGGGCAGTGTTTTTTTTTCTTCTTTTATTTTTTTTCCTACTGTTTTAATGAGAATTAAGAGGGGAAACATCTCCTGACAACAGACTGTAACATGCAGTATGGCTGAACTCAATCACATAAACAATTTCAAATGAGGTATGCTGTTTAAATCCATTTTTAATTAGCAAACAATGTAAAATCGTGGCAAGCATGGCAAAGTCTGGGTTATATATTTATAACAAAACGACCCTGAGCAACATCATAAATCTGTAAGAACACCGATTATTTTGATTTTGGAAATCTCCCTTTTAAACCACTTGCTTCATTTTGGTCACTGGGGTTTGCTGTTCAGAAAAGGTCAGCACGTCCTGTGGCTCTGATCGGAACCCACCACACACCGCTTAATGAATGCATCTAAACCAAAGACACAGTCACAGGGATGGCTGGGAAGGAAGGTGTTAAGGAGCGTCCTGCTGGCCGCCAGTCAGACATCGCTGGGTGATCTCGCTCTCTGAGACAGGTTAGAAGGAACGCAGCCACAGCAGACGAGCCACAGTGCTTTCTGTATCTCCTGGTTTCTAAAAGCATATATTACAGGGTTGATGATGGAATTGTAGGTAGCAGGCAGAAGGGTGGCATAGGTGTATATAGAAGGATAGGTGTAATCTGCTATTAAAGAATAGAGCGTAAAAGGCATCCAGCAAGCCGCAAAAGTCCCCAAAATAATGGCCAAAGTAGACACTCCTTTTCGGGTGGTCACATAGTGGGAAGTGGCCAGGAAATGGTGCTGCAAGGCAATCTGATGGGCATGGCGCATCACGATTTTACAGATCTGAATGTAGAGCTGCAGCATGAGGGCAAACATGAGCAAGAAGGAGACCGAAAGGACCGCCGCGTTATTTTTAGTGAGCGGTCTGATAACACTGCAGGTGGATTCATCTCTGAGGCAGTTCCAGCCCATCACAGGCAGCAGTCCGATACAGATCGCTGCTCCCCACAGCAGTATAAGCATGACATAGGTAAAAGTGACAGTCCTCTCCGAATTGTAAGTCAAAGCGTAATACAGGGAGAGGTACCGATCGACAGTGATAGCCAGCAAGCTGCCGACGGACGCGGAGAAAGAGGCGACAATCAGTCCAACCGTCACCAGTTTGGTGGCTTCGGAGCGCAGCAGGTACGCAAACACGAAATTGACGATCAGTCCGATCCCCGCCAGGAGGTCCGCCAGCGCCAGGCTGCCTATCAGCAGGAACATGGGCGCGCGGAGGCTGGGGTTATGGAAAATGATAAGCACCACCACGGCATTCTCGCAGGAGATAAGGGTCCCCGAGGTGCACAGGACAATGTCCCAGGGGTTCACCCAGAGCTCTGGCTCCGGCTCTACCACGGGAACCAGGGAGGAGCCCGAGGCATTCTCGGTAGAGCTGGCTTCTACGCGGTCCTGAGGCAGCCAGCTCGCATTGACCGTCGGCTCTTCATTCATTTTAACCCCGGTTCTTCAACGGAAAGACAGGGTTTTACCGCCCGCCCGCCCGCAGCACCGCAGGCAGCGCCCCGAGAGCGCAGCGCCCCGGGCGGCACCGCCTGCCGGGAGGGCACTTGTTACATAAACGGCACCACAGACAGAGGGCGGCACCCGGCGCGCCGACCCCCGCCGAGGGAAAGGCGCCACAACGCGACCCCCGCCTCGCAGCGCCGCAGAGCCGCCGTGCCGCAGCCGCGGTGAGCGCTACGGGTGAGGGGGCGGCGGTCCTTCCGCGACCCCCTGCGAGGGAAGCCCCGCCCGGGGCGGGGGGGCGAGCTCCTCCGAGGACTCACAAACTCCGCGCGGGCACCGCAACCCCCAGGCAGCCCCCCCCGGCACGCACACACCTGGGCTCTCCCGGAGGACGTGGGACGAGGCTCGCAGGGTCCCTCCGAGGCGGCCGCCCTCCACCGCTCGGCGCGAGGGGCCGAGGGCGCAGCGCAGGTGCGCGCGCTCGCACCCCCCCCCCCTCCCCTTCCCCTGCGCGCGCAGCTGTTCGGCTGAGGAGAGGGGAAGGCGGCGCGCGCGCGGCCACGTGGGCTCTGCGCGGGAACGGGGGTTCGCCTCGTGCTCGCGCGCCTGCGCAGATGCCTCCTGCTGCGAGGCGGGAGGACGCCGCTGAGGGAGCGGGTGGGGCAGTGCTTGGTCGGCTATATAGGAGAGGTCCTCGTGCGGGGCTGTTACAAAGAAGGCTCTGTGATACAGGGAGAGCCGTGAACAGGAAAAGTGTGTGATGTTGGGGGTGTGGGGTAGGCAGTGAGGTGGGCTGAGAACTGGCTGACCGGCAGAACTCAGGAGGTTGTGGTCAGCAGCACATATTCCAGTTGGAGACCTGTAGCTGTGGTGTTTCCCTGAGGTCAGTGCTGGCTCTGGTCTTGTTCAACATGTTCATCAGTGACATGCACGAAGGGATGGAGTTCACCCACAGCAGGTTTGCTGATGATACAAACTAGAAGGTGTGCTGCCATTCAGCAAGACCTGGACAGCCTGGAGAGTTGGGTAAAGAGGAAAAGGGCAACAAGAGCAAATGGGGAGGAAAAGCCACGTGCACCAGTACAGGTTGATGGCTGACCTGCCAAAAAGGAGCTCTGCAGAGACGACCTGGGTGTTCTGTTGGGCAGCAGGTTGGCCATGAGCCAGCAGTGTGGCCCTGTGGCCAAGGATTGTCAGTGGGATCCTGGGGTGCATTACAAAGAGTGTGGCCAGCAGGTGCAGGGAGGTGATTCTCCTCCCCTACGCTGCCTGGTGAGGTCACATCAGGAGTGCTGCGTCCAGTTCTGGGCTCCCCAGTTCAAGAAAGACAGGGAACTCACTGGAGAGGGTCGAGCTGAGGACCACAAAGATGACTGGGGCCTGGAGCATCTCCCTTATGGGTAAAGGCTGAGAGAGCTGGGGCTGTTCAGTCTGGAGAAGAGAAGACAGAGGGGATCTCTGCTGTCCATAAATATCTGAGGAGTGAGAGTCAAATGGTTGAAGCCAGGCTCCTTTCAGTGGTATATGGTGACAGAACATGGGTAAATGGGCAAAAACTGGGACGCAAGAAGTTACATACAGACATGCAAAAGAACTTCTCTACTGTGAGGATGACAGAGCACTGAAACAGGTTGCCCAGAGAGGTGATGGAGCCTTCTTCTCTGGCAATATTCAAGATCTGTCTGAATGCTTTCCTGCTCAGCCTGTGTTAGCAGGGAACCTGCTTTAGCGGGGGTTGTACTGGATGATCTCCAGAGTTTCCTTCCAAGCCCTATGATTTTATGTTACCTCTGGACAGGGAACTGATGAGATTAGTATTTGAAAACTGGATACACTTTTTTTTAATGTACTGAGAAAGAAGAGAGAATTCAGAGAAAAGTCATAGATATGGCATTGAGAATCTGAGAAATTGCCTCATAGTGAGGGATTTATAGAAGTTACTCTTTTCAGTTTTTCTAGGAGAAAATTGAGAGATGACTGGATTAGAGCATTGTTTTACCAGGATCTTATATGCCTCTAACAGAAAAGGGTGTAATGCCTGAAAGCCAAAGTTAGAGAAGTTCAGATTCAAAATCAAGCACATTTAATAGCAAGATAATTAATCACTGGAACAATGCATCCAGCATAAATGATTTCCTCTTAATACCTTTTAGGAAGATGTCTTTATGAAATAAAAGTTCTACATGTGCAAAAGCCAGAATAAAAAATGTATTCCAAATTAGTAACACCTAATTTTTACTTCTTTATAGGTTATGATAGCAGGGAAAATTTTCTCATAACTCACAGTTTATTCTCTTCAGGTAAAAGACCATGATGGTCTTAGATGTTTGGAAGCCATTCCTTCTCGCTTGGGTGCCAACTGCTCTCAATAGCCATGGTTAGCATGAGGCATCCTCTGTCAGAGGACTCTATTTTATCTAATAATTGGTTCAATGTTTGGAATCTTCAAAACTATCTGACTTGGGGACATGGGGGCATGTTTCCCTGCATGTATGTCTACTTTTTTTTTTTTTTTAAATCACTGTTCCTCTTTCATACTTCCTTTAACAAAGCATAGTGATTTACTTCTGCATGTGTACATTAAATAACTATTTTGCTCCTCTTTTTTTGATTTGTCATGGCTGGATTATTCTGGAACTGGGTACAGTGCACGTTATTCATGCTTCTATGCATCTTTCATCTATTTTTTGTTGCATCTACAACAAGTGCTTTCATGCCAGTCTCCGATTACTAATTATGAATAAAGCTTGAGATGAATGTGATATGCAGTGAGCTTCTTCAGGCAACCACAAATACATTAAGTTCTTCGAAGGACCACAGAGGACATTGGTTCTGTGCTCACTTCTCAGGCTTTTTAAACCAGAAAACAAGACAAACATAATAAAAATACTAAAAGGTGTATGTTATCATGGCAAAAGTTTGTACTATGAATCATAATATTGAACATGCTTAGGTGGAAAGGCTGGCTTTCAGCTATATTTGGTTGCTCTGTTTGCTGGCAGAGTAATCTCTCAAAGCTGAAAATGATTCAAGGTGCGTTGATAATTCTAGGTATTTAAAATGAGATAATGGGCATCCTGAGTCTTAGAAGCATGGGGAATATTTCTGAGAACGTTTCTGAAAGGTGAGTTCAGTTATAATAGTTGAGATGACCAACTTCTCTGACAGAAACCTGTCTATATTCTTACATCATATGTATATTATGATTTAAATGTTGAAGCTCGTACCTTGGTGGAAATTGTGATAGTGATGCTTAAAGGTATGTTATCACACCTGAATGCTGGAGCTGGCAACTACTGGAGGCAATACTTTCATGATTTTCTTAACCAACTATATAACCTATATGATAGGCGAAAGAGAGAAAGGAGGGAAAGATGTGTGAGCTACATACGTTCATAATCTGAGCACTATGCACCTGAAGCTCTTATAAAACTCACAATTGTCAAAATTGTCCAAGTTTAATGTACTGCAGTACATAGCGGCAAAAGTAGCTGTTAGGAGGTTGGATGGATGGGTTGTCCAACAAGATGATTTCTTTATGCAGAAACATTGAAGTTATTGTTTATTGACTGCTTTCTGTGATGTGAACTCACATCTTTCAGTGGAAGAGTTCTAACTGTGAGCTTGTTTGGTGGCCAGATAAACTGAATAAAAAGGCTTGCCTTCCTCTTTTGTGTCAGAGGAAACTATCTCAGCAATTCTTGACATCCACCGTATTTTTCAAAAATTATTACCCTTATGAAAGTGATGCTCCACTTTAATCCATGTTATCAAATGAAGTTAGAATGTACTTCGGGAGGAATCTACTGGAAACATTTGCAGCTCTGCTCTGAGATAACGGAAACACCTTTCTGAATTGGTGCCTCTCAAGCTTCAAATATAAGGTGCTCTTTTTCTCTTCCAAAGCTCCTCAGGAAATATTTGATATTGAAAAGTATTCATCATTCCTGATTGGCTTATGGAGCCAGCCTCCATTGCCCAAATGCAGTCAAGCAACTCAATTTGCACTTTTTCCTGTACTCCCTTTAGCTCTTAGCAGCTACTATCCATAAGATGTCTCTGCCGCTGTTTTGTATCCTGTTTGAAGTCAGCATGTTGACGGATTTATTAAAAACTAAGGAGTATTCAACTAAGTCTTACAGAGGTCAGACTTGTTGGTCCAAAGATTTCTCTTGGCTGAGTCTCGAAGATTTCTGAGTTTTATTTGATGTTTGTTCTGAGTGCTACTGCATCCACTTGGTAAATAGCTGAATATGCTTTGTAGGCTTTATTTCTGTATACCATACTTCCAGAAGTGTTTTTATTTTCTATAGAAAAGAGGTACATTCACATAATTAATGTGACACCCAATAAAATACCATCTTCAGAACCCTCCCTGCTCCTCTGGGTGCTTTTACTATATTTGGCTACTACAGACCAAATTAATACTCAAACAAAACTGTTACTGCTGGCACTGTACATAAAGACAGAGCTTGATCTCAGTGACAAAAAGCCAAGCATCATCACATGAACTTTTAATTTTTAATTACTTCCAGAATCTCTCTCAAATATAAAGGTGTGATGACAAGAACTGTGTTTCCTATTGGTTCATTTCCAATCTGATGTAAAACGGAAAGTAATAGAATAAAGATACTAATGTACTTTCCATTGATGTTCTGACCATGACACCCTTCTGTTTGAATCCCTAGCTAAATGCACTTATTTTCCCCTTTAAAATACACTGAATTCCACCTGCCTATGATGCTCTCAATGTTTTTTATATATTAACTCTTGGCCTTCCCACACTATCCAAACACCCACTGGTGTTTGCTGAAGAACTGCATACACATGAAATACACTGCTGGGCTCAAGTATTTTACTGTAATTGTACTGTTATATTGATAATGAATAACTTATGCTGAATTTCCATGTGATTGCAGAACTACTGAAACTTACAAGGGCTAGGTTTGTTGATGCATTTTCTTTTGGAATGTCCTCAAATAATAAGCACTTTACTGAAGTATTTTCTAACTTACAGGCATATAGTAATCAAATGATTGAACTTGGCATTTAGACTATAAGCTGCAGAAATCTCTAGAGTAATTACTGTTTCAAAAAGAGCAAGAAAATGACTTTAATAACTCTAGGGCTAACTATAGCCTATGATGAATTATAAACTAGATCATAGGCTTCTAGTATTTTACTATCTGGACAGTGACCCAGAACAACCTCTTTCTGTGGCCATAAAAGTGATTAATTTTCACAGTTCGTTCATCCATGGAAATATTTTCAGCTAAGATGACCAGTCTCTGTAATGAGAGTGATTTTAAGTAAACCATTTCTGGAGTTCACAGAGAATCTACTAAAAAATCAATTATTTGTAACCAGTGCCCATTCATACAGTGGAATTTATATGCACACATGCTAATTGTGCATTTACTCATGTTTTTGGTTTAGTGATGATGCTGATATATCTTTCTTTTTTTTTTCTTTTTTTTTTTTTTTTTATACTAGTAACAGATCTCATTTAAATTTTAAAAAGCTTTGAATTGGAGATTTTAAATTATGTATATTAGAGTTGAAATTAAAGCTTGAAAATTACATGCTTATTAGCAGCTGTTGTCTAAAAATTAGTGCATGGTCATAACTCTGGGGAGTTGTTATAATGCTGGTGTTT